AAAAAAAAAAAAAAAAAAAAAAAAAAAAAAAAATTCCTTTTAAGAGTTTTTAGTAGTCACCCAAAAGAAACTGATTTTACATCTAACAATGTCCAAAAACCTGAGTACGAAATTAAAAGAACAGTCATTTATGACTCTATCATTACAGTAAACAGAGAATAATGATAATAATAAAATAAAAAAAAAAAAGGCAGGTATATGTGTTATGTTTCATGTTACTGTTGATCCTTTGACATCTTCATGTGAATCCACCCTATCTTTCAGTGGACTCGTGTAATCCTGGTTTTTTTCCGATAGGGTGGAGCTCGTGGTTCGTTGGATGCCATTCATCACCCCATTTTCCACAGTTGGCGAATTACCATTTTCCGATGTATTAGTGTTTGTATTAGCCTCAGCATTGATAGTAGGTTTTGGTAGTTCCCTTGATGGCGAGGATGCTAATAAACGGCTAAGTCCATCGAATAAGTTTTTTGCATCGGATATGAGAGCTGCCGAGCCCGGGTAACAACGGCCAAAGCATGTTGCACAATGAGGGAAAGCGACCTGGGCGAGACGTACAAAGTGTTAAATCGCTGTTTGAGAGAACTAACTACAAAGATTAGCCTGGGGTTTTGTTTACTAACAAGGGAGGTTAAGTTATCTTTCAGAATTACAAATATTGAATAAGCCCTTGACGTAAAAGTTTTGATCTACAACTTGCAGCTAAAACGTGGGAAAAGATAAATGGTAAGAAGTTCACCTCAACAAAAGCATGGCACAGCTTAATAAAAAGAACAGACTCATTATCTTTGAGCATCCTAGTTGTACTGTATCTCAGGAGCGAATCGGAAACTGCCTGCAAACCCTTAACTAGTTCTTGGGCAAGCAAGTTTTTCAGGCTTAAAGGAGCACAAGGGCGTAGTTCATTCATAGCGGCAGATATACCTGATGCCAGCACAGAGAATCATTAAATAAATAAAATTTAATACTGTAGTACTTTGTAAATATTGACAACAAATAACTTTACCATTGATAAAAACGGCAAGTGGCGGATGCTCCATTAGATTCGAAGGAGGTGTGACATCTTCACGACTTTCTTCATTCAAACTACTTGCAGGGAAGCCAACTGCTGGCAATGGGACCCACCGGTGAGAATCCAGGACTAACTGTATAAAGTGAAACATCCGTCAAACTCTTATCTTTAGTTACCCAATAATATTTGATTCTTATGGAAAGAGCATAGCAGTCCAAAGCATTAGTCTTGATTGTAACTGAAGGTAGATAGCATAGTCAACAACATTTTTACTTAATAGGACATTTTACCTGAAAATTTTCGATTGCTGTCCTCATATTCTTAGAAAACAAATTAAGGACTGCTCTGTTGAGACAATAGAGAAAATCCACGTGAGCGATCATTAAATGCCAACGAGTGTAACTTCTTACCAACATATGATTGAAATGTGTGTTTACTCTTCAAAAAGTGGGGGAAGCAGTCCTCGAAAATCCAACCCAACCCAACCAAGGCCCATAGCACAATACTGTAGACCACAAGCAGAAAAAAAAAATTGGCATCACATATAGTCAACTGTATTTGTAAAAAATTCAATTAAAAAAAACAGGAAAGCAATCCCATCTGACATGATGCTACAGTTCAGAGGGGAAACACATAATACTAATTCTCACCATGCTTTGATCAAGAATATTTGACAAAGATCCACCTTCACTTATCTTAGGAAGCATGATTTTGAGGGTCTTCAGGTGCAAGGTAATCTGATGCATGGCCCAGTCAAAGAGAAGGCCACCATCATAATTTTCTTCGTTTCCTGATGTGTCATCAACGAATATGGCCCGGTACTGATTAACAACATCAAAAAGATGCATTCTATGACAATTCACCATCCCTTTCAAATATTCGTAAGGGTTTCTCTGGTCTAGATCATCAAGTATTCCAGTAAGCCAGGCTTCACGGCATCTTAAAAACTGACCACCAAAAATTGGATCCTTGATCAGAACTATATCTCAGAAATCTAATGAGATCTAAAGAATAAAGATCAGGGCCTATGAGAACTTGAGGAAAAGAACAATCAAGAAAAGGTAGGATCAGAAAATAAATTTTAAAAAAAATGATCATGGTACCTGTAGACGCATTTCATACTCATTGAAAACTCCTATTCGACGTAAATATCCTATGATGCGGAGGCACTCAGGCAACTGCATACAAACTCAGAGTTTGATAATCCATATGAGGGACATCAATTTGTTTTGAGTTTCACTTTGTGATCAATAAAAATGTTAATTATAAATTGGATTATACCTGAATGTTAGATCTAAGTTTCTGGAGAAGCTGAGAGAGAAGAGACTGGGTAGTCTGCCGAACTTCTGCAGCTAGAGCCTGAATCAACGGAATTCTATTTGTAGGAGAAAAAACAAAATGATGCCTTAATAAATGCTTCAATCAACTGTAGTAGTGGAATGAATCGTGTAGCTAAAACAAGAAACTCACTTTGGGTGCATCGTAGTAAGTTTCGCAACAAATGCCTCTAAATCAAGGGCTTCATCATAATTTCCATTTCTCACACATCTGCATCAACGTAATTTGAAATCATTCCTTGAGATTCAAGAAAACTATGGTTAACAAGCAACGTGAATGTATCAGCAAATAAGCCCCAGGGTATACGTGTCCATGAGCTGAGGAATTTCAAGCAAATCAAGCAAAGTACTATGATTTGCCAGTAATGTTTGGTTCATCTTCCTCTTCTCCAAAATATGTTCCGCAGAATCAACAAACTCAGTGCAACCAGATGTTAGCTTAGGAATTTCAGCAATCTGCAGAAGAGGACAAACATCTATGAATACCATGACTTTAGGATTCTCTCCATATTCTGAAGTTAAGCATGAAGAAGCAAAATAGCAGAATATTTATACAAGTATTCCCATGCGTGACATACTAGCTAGAGTAGTTCTGGTCTCCAATTTACCCCGCTCTACAACTCATACAGTCAGTAGAAGTGACCAATATGTCAACCTTCAAAGTTCAAACAAATAATATACAATTATCCAACCTTCTTCCTACACCACTTTGAAGATGGCTTACTTCATCACTGTAGTATGCAATGAAAGATTATCAGTTTGGCCTTAAAATGTATAGAAGTGCATATGCTTCAAGTTTTCTCCTTTATTTTAAACCTCACTCTATTGATTGATTTGAATCCAAATGCATCGCAATAGGATCTCACTTGATTAGCAACGAATTATGGCAGAATCCGTCCATGTTATTGTTCACGACAATGTGCTCAACCTATTCACTCTGAAACTTATTACAAACTCAAAGTATACTACATCGCTTCAAAACATAACTTAAAGGACCTTTAATTTCAGAACTACAATTCAATGTTCAAATCATATTTTACTCTATATCAATACCCTCACCAAATATTCGCTAAAAAAAAAAATACCCTCACTAAAGAAGTTTATAGTGATACCTAATTATCAACAAAACCTCACTTCAACGACGATGGCAGCTCTAACAGTAACTCAAACCAGAAATTGAAAAGAAAAAAACAATCTACCAATATTCAGAGGAAAATACCAGGGACTCGAGATGCTTATCAATCGAAGTAACCTCCTCCCGGATCTCGAGCAACGCATCTGCCGCCGCAATGAAAGCACGGTAATTGCCCACGGCCACCTCCTGCATCTGCCTCCGTATTCTCTCCGCATCGACTCTCAATAATTCCGGTTCCTTGAAACAAAACGATTAGGGGAAAAGATTCTTCAAATTCCGAAGCTCAGAGACGAAATCAAGCAATCGGAGTTTGTGGCAAACCTTGTGAAGGCGATCGAGTGTGAAAGAGAGAAGCTCAGAGACGTATGGCTGCTGAGCTGCGGAGGCTAGCGGGAGAAGATTTGACATCGCCACTGTCTCAACGTCGTTCGCGGGAGCTGCTGGCGACGCCATTGCTGTCATTTCTGAGCTCAGGGTCGGATCGATCACTACAAGAGATCTGTGCGTGGGTTTTTGTGTAATTTAAATCAGATTCTGATTATACATTTTTGAGGTTATGAATGAGGAGACGTTCCCAAATTCCGTTATAAACAAGATAGATGAGCAAGTTTAAGCCTATGTTTGGTTTAAGGATGGCAGCGGTTCGGGTTCGGATCGGATGGAACCTCAGGGCACCCAAAACCAAAACCCAAACTTAAAAACCAAAACCAAAACCAAAACTGTTTCGGGTGAAAATCCTTCACCAAAACCAAAACACGCGGATACCCAAAAACCAAACGGATACCCAAAAAACCAAAAATATTATAATAAAACACCAAAGACAACAACATAAAACATGATAACTTAGAGAGTATCAGGCAACCAGTCACAAATTAGAAAGTACCAACGTACAGTATAAGCCATAAAGGTAGTAGAGTACATAGCTAAGCCAAGCCATCACGGGAGACGGGGAGAGGATAAGAGGGAGAGGAAATTTCCACTTATATAGCTAGGGTTTTTGGTGGGCTTTTTGATGGGCCGTCTATTTTGGGCACCCAACAGAGCACCACGGGCGAAATATAGGATCCGCACCAAAACCGAAGACTTTCGGGTACCCGAAACCGCAAAACCGTGGGTGAAATTTGAGAACCAAAACCGAAAACCGTAGAACCAAAAACCGCGGATATCCGAACCGAAACCGAACCGCTGCCATCCCTAGTTTGGTTGGAGGGGAAAGGGAGGGGAGGTAAAATTTTATTTTCCCTTGTTTGGTTCAACTTTTTGTAAGAGGGAGGGATTTAAATTTTCTCTTCAATTCCTTCCTCCAAGGAAAAATGTGTTCCCCTCTAAGGTATTGTTTGGTTGGGGGTAAAAGGAGGGTGTTGATATCATTTTCAGTAAGCCAGATTAAGTGACATTAATCCGCTGATTGAGATCAGTATAATGGTAATTAGGGTTCATGCAAGCAAGTGACACTTCCACCAGCTTCAAGATGACTACACAATGAAAGATTCAGCAAGAACCGACATCTTTACTAGTTGACCGATATCACATGTCGGTCGACACATGTCGGTCAACACATGTCGGTCAACACATGTCGGTTAATACTTGTCAGTCACAACATATCGGTTATAACTGGGTGGACCGATATCTATAACATTCCACCTCAGCATGGTAAGGCGGCGACAACTCAGCATAACTCATCATTACATTTATCCAAGTGGCAAGCTATCAAGAGAAGCAACTAAGGACCGCCTTTGACCTTTCAAAATGTAATGATTATTGTGCAGATAAATATTGTACGTAAATATAAAAGGAAAAGGGAGAATTCCCCAGGAAGAACGGACAAGAATAATACTCTACAGAAAAATTACATTTCCAGTTATAATATACAAGCTTTCAGCATTGAACACCTAGCTTTACTTCAAATACACTCCAATTTGGTTGTTGTTAATTTCCATTTGACAACAGAGGGGAGGGGAGGAGAAGGCTTTTTTTACTTTTCCCTTGTTTGGTTGGGATAATTGGATAGGAGGGGAGGGAAAATTTTAACAACAAATTACTTTTTTGACCTTACAGTGAATTATTTTATTTTTTTTGTTCCTTACATCATTAAGGATATATTTGTCATTCTAACATTATTTTCTCTCCCCTTTTATTTTCTACCAAACAAGGTTAATCATTTTCATTCAACCCCCCTCCTACAAAATCCATCCAAACAAGATAAATTATTTTCCCTCCCTTCCCCTCCCTTCCCGTTCCTTCCATTATTTAAATCCCCTCCCCTCCCCTCCCCTCCCCTCCTTTGAACCAAACATACCCTAAGTCCGAATCTTTTATTAATGTTATTATGTGGAATTTGAACTTTAACTAGTTGAAATATAAAAAAATTATGTAGAAAAAAGTTATATTTGAGTCCTTTTATCAAACAAGTCAAACCCACGAGTCTTAACCGGTAGAGTTAGAGTTAAATCGTGAAACATCACAAGATCTTGACATGTGGCTTATCGAAAATCTGTACGATGAGTAGTTGAGCATTTCTGTATATATAAATGAATGGCTTGTATTGCAATGCAAGAAGAGATTTCTAATCAAAAGGAAAATCTAAAAAATAATTACATAATTATCCTTTTATGCGCACAAAAAGCACGAAAGTGGGCGAAAACCTCCTCCATGGATTCACCATTACATTCTGGATGACCGTCATTCGAACCGTATGTCTATTAGAACCGAATAGAACCCTAAACATCAAATCTTGTTTTCTCTATTATAAATTTTACGAAACGGACATGATCCTTGTTGAACCAAAATGGGCATGTAAATAGATCAAATAGAGATGCAAGTTTCTGGTCTTGTCATGAACCACAATAAAAGTTGTGTTGTTTGTGAGCAAATGCTCGATGCCAATTTCACAGCACATCTGTTGTGTTTGTCTCGACAACCGCCACCATTGGGGCACTTTCTCTTGTCTTGTTTGTGAGCAAATGCTCGATTGCCAATCTCACAACACATCTGTTGTGTTTGTCTCGATAGCCACCACCATTGCCGCACTTTTGTCTCCAACGTAGTCCACTTAGGCGAACGGAAAAAATTAAGTGACAACGTTGATTTTCTATCTCCAATATTATTGTCTTACTACTTTAATTGAATCTTCCTTTCACATTTAATCGATCATAATATAATTTTATCATCCGTGATTAGTTTTTTCAAGTACTTTGGGTCATTGATTTCTTGTCAAGGAGTTAAGTTTTAGGGAACCCACAAATCCAATCTTTCCATCAGAAACCAATCTAAATACAAAAACATAATCCATACCAACCTCACATTGGAACTATTATCCAGAGCACTCTCTTGAATACCTATGATTCGGGACCTGCCAAATTGTTACTTTTCATTCATAATCAACAAGCAATTAATCACCCCAAAATAATGCATCATTCATGTATATAGCAAAAAGGAAAACAGAAAAACATTGCTGATACACCCTACTTACTCCACAGAAAAATATTAAATAATTCCCATATAAAGACCATAGAATCATCAAGATAAACATATATGCTTGTGTAATGCACCTTGTTCAAGATTACATGTTGCACGACTCGAAATCCAAAAAACACCACTCGAGACAGACCAACCGACCAACAACTTGTGAAAACCCAAATCACATAAGAGACCGTTTTCATAAATACAGTCTGGCACAGGGCAATATAATTCACATATAAAACCCGTGCTTCAACCCTTAGTCACGAGATAACCAAAGGTCTTACTCCTTGGCCTCAGGTTTCTCTTTGTCACCCTCCTTTTTCTCTTTGTCCTCCTCCTTTTTCTCTCCTGCAGCCGAAGATGCATCTTTCGACTCTTTATCTTCTTTGTCATTTCCTCCAACACTCAACTTCTCAATAAGACTAGCAGCAGCGGTACCTTCTTCGCTATCTCCAGTGACCTTTGCTTGAGATTCCGTAATTTCTACAATCTTATCTTTGAATGATTTGCAATCTGGAATATAAAGGCAACATAAATAAATTGCAAATGTATACTCATCAAACTTGTCACTGTAGTTGTAATCACAGGAAAACGATTTAGGTATAAATTTATTTCTAATATTTTTCAAAATTAAAAGGGGTGAGTGGTTGGGGAGAGGGTAATTCTGGTAGGGGAATATTAAATAATCAGAAGAAGAATGATATGACAATGTAATTAGATAGCATAAATGTCCAATCACCGGCCTAAATACCCCATGAAATGGGCAGCCACAGTTAATTTATCAGAGAAACAGATAATTATAGAGAAAAAATGTTCCACCCCTTCAACTTAGAGTGCAGATTCCAACAAATTATGAACTAAACTTCATAACGTATAGACTGGTCGAATATATCAATAATTGTTCAAAAACATTGGGTGAAAATGGATTTGACATCCATTAACATTGGGACAAAATGATTCGCACGAGTATTTCACCTTGTGTCCAAACTCCAAAAAATTAATAAATAAATAATGCAACTGAAAAAAGAAAGAAATGTAGAAAAAAGAATAAGCCGGGATCCACGAAAGTAAACAAACCATAATGGGGATCAAAACCCAAAAGTGACTTACTTTCAACTGATGGAAAGCGGATACAGAAAGTCTCCTGCTTTAGCTCCCCATCAGCAAAATCAGCAGCATGCCACACACAAGACTTGTCATTACCTTGATGCTCTTGCAGTGTCAATGTGGGTAGGACTGCAATTACAAATTAAATTCAAGTTTCAGTCCAACATACTCGATTTTACAGGACATCAAACACAATACAACTTCTCAACATTTAACTTGCCGATACTCACTCAAATGTGCATACTTCTAGTGGTATACACAATTAAGCAATACAATAGAACTGACACACAGCGTAAGCAGTATACCCACCGAGATGATTGGCACATATCTTAAGAGTCTTGTTCTGCCTCATAACAAGCCTAACTTTGCCGGTCTTCTTGTGCTTTAATAACTTTACAGTCCCGACTCCCCTCTCCTTCCATTGGCTACCTTCTTTGTCAAATCTATACAACTTCGCTTTCCTATCAACAAACAAGAAGCAATATAATAAGATCCTACTCGTGGTGATAACAAGAAATATATTATACAGCTTACACACTGTATCTATTTCAACGAACATATTAAACTTAACCAGAAACAATTATTGTATTTTTTTTATTCTGATTCAAACGGTTTATCCAAAATAAATAATCACATTTTAAATTCACCAGCAATATTTCCATGGGTCAAAACAAAAATCTCATCAGATCACCAGCTTCATTGACTGAATCTCTCCAATTCTCCAATCTCCATCAACTTAATTAGTCTATCCAATCCTCCAATCTCCAAACCATATCAAATTTTCATCAGCAACATCAGTTCAAATTACTATAAGCTGCTTAAAACGATAATTTCGATTTATACGGATACATCAAGTCTAACGATCGCGAAAAAGGCAGACCAAAGAAGATCAATCGCATCGACACGCATTCGCCAACCTAATTCAAATGTTAGAGCAATCGTTTGAATCAAAACACTCACAAATCAAGTATAATATCCTCATTTTCTTCGCCGGTAGCAACATAGACCTCCTGGAGTTTGACGATCGGGGCAATCGGGGCCCCTGTGTCCTCGTCCTCAGCAGATGCCTTCGAGTCATCCTCTTCTTCTTCCTCTTTCTTCAAGGCCGTGGGCTCAGTGGTTGTTGCCATAGCCGTACGGAGGCGAACTGGACGGAAAAACTGTGTAGAGAGTGAGATCTAGCGTGCGTGAAACTGAAGTTAGGGTTAAGCGGTGATGAAATGTGAGAGCGTTTGGGTATATGTGGATCGGAGCATTTCTGATCAGAAAGAGTGTTTTTGCAAGCCTTGGGCTTTTAGTGGGCTGGGCCGATCAATTTGGAACTTCGGATTGGATGGGTGTTATTCGAGCCGAGCTGAGCCGAGATAATTAGCTCTCGTTCAATTTCATGCTCGTTTAACAAACAAACCAAACACTTGGTCGAGTTGGGGTAGGCTTGTGTAATATAGCAAAAAGTTTAAATGAGTTGTTCGATGAAGGCCTTGTAAGGTTGTTAGCTGATTGTATTGATGGATAGTTGATAGTATATTATAATGACTCACTTTTTTTTTTCTCAAAACCATAGAGATAATATATAAGAGCACAAAAGTGCGAAAGAACAAATTACAAGACCCCAACAGGGTAATACTAAGACCCCAATAAGTTAATGAGAATAATGACTCACTTAAAATGTTAGATAATAGGTTTAAAATTATTGACCGAGGTTTGACTCGCCAAATTCGTCAATTATTGACCCATATTTAGAGAGGTTTCGGATGAGAAAATTGGAGGTTTTGGGGGGAGATCGAAAAGGCTAAAATTGTCTATTGTTTTCAATATAAGAGCTTGAAAAGATAATATTTCTAGAATAATAATATACATTTTTCTAAATAGTTATACAATTCATTATTTATTAAATAATTGGCGAATTTGACAGGTTAAATATATAAATTTTTCATAATAATTATACAATTCGTTATTTACTAAATAATTATTGAATATGACAGGCTAAATTCCACAACATACAAATGAATTGGAGTCTGGAGATGTTTTTCGCATCAAGTTTGGACTATTTCATTTAAATCTATTTTCTGAAAAAAAAAATCCATTTAAAATATATTAAAAAGAATTAGTTGTATACGAACGCGCTCTCCCGACTGGTTTAATTGAACGGATTGGATTAATTGTTCTAGCTCAAGTGAGACCATTCTCAAGCGGGAAATGTAGTGGCAAATTGCCATACATAACCAGCCGAGAGAGATAGAGAGAGGGGAGAGAGAGGTATCTCAGCAGATATTGTAATCAAATTAATTCTACTTTCTTGCTTGAAATTTCCTGTGATTGTTGTGTTTGTTGTATGCTTGCTATCAGTCAATCGGTCCGTGTTATTGAAGGCTTATAACTGTAGGATTTGGTTCATCAAGAACTTATGCAAAATGGGGTTCGGATCAAACAAACCAGGTGTTTCTCTTTCGAGAGATCTTCGTATGTTTGACGCGAAACTTCTAGATTCTTCTATGGTCGTGTTCTGTATCAAATGTATTGTTGTTGGCTGTGAGGTGTGCTTTCTTCGTCTGCTAAATGCGTAGTCTTTAGTTTTCTTCTGTCCTATAGTTCTTAAATTTTTCTATTTTTTCTCAGTTTTTGTTTCTTTGAACTATGGTGCATCACATATATATGGGACTGAGTGAGTTTTGAATGTGGGATTATTTTGAAGATTCAAGTGTCACTTATGTAGAAGCAAGATTTTGATTTTGTTTGCTCGGTCTATAGTAAACATCGAAGGCCTTTTACTCCAAGACGACCAAAGCAACTTCAAGTAACTTTACCTCTATTTTTTGCCTCTGTCAATGCTGATGGATTCACAATTTCTGTCTCGATTCCAGTGAAATTAGTGTCCAAGATGAAGCAGATGGGAATAAAATCTTTGATCTTTCCGGTCAAAATCGAACCTGAATCTCATTTCCAGCTCTAACGCTGTTGTGAAATATCTGAACGTGTTATTAAGGCATTGACTGAAGATGTATTGTGGTGTATATATCCTTGCCCCATCGACACGAACCAGAAATGTGGGACAAGCGGAACGTGGTAAATGTTCATGTAAGAAAATCACAACACTGTTTTTCTTGAAGATTCTGTTTTTGACTAGGTATTTATTAATTTTATTATTGTGAAAATGGTTTTGTAGAGATCTTTGCAGAGGCTGGTGCATCTTGAAATTTCAGCTAAACTGTGTACCTATTGTTGTATAAATGTAGAGATCGACCAAACACAGCATTCTTTGTATCTAAAGATATTAAACAAACCGAGCTGTATTCGACTCGTTCTTTCACATAACGAGCCAAACTTTTTGGCGAACAGCTTGTTGAATTATATTCGAACTAGAATATCATAAACTTAAAAAAAAATAAAGTCGAACGCATCATCACGCACGAATGATCTATAAAACATCATATTCGGATTAAGTCATTAAACACACCAAAGTTTACATGACTAAAACTGCAAACCCCTTTAAAGTAACGACTCGAAACCTAGTATTTTTTATGGTCTACTTTCAATTCGACAAAAGCATAATCTGCAGGGGATGACTCAATGCTCGTATGGAGCCTGATACATAAATGCCTGTGCATCAAAAAACACTATGAGTCAAGACAAGTTGACAATCTAAATAGAGATGGTAATTTTCCTATCATCCATCATTCTTTGTTTCCTCCATTGCAGAGCAATGGGAATCTATTTACTCTCAAGAATTCCAGTCAAGGCCTACTGTCAACCTGGGATGTTCCTTAAGAATTACACGGAGGGCTCATTTTGTTTTCGAATAATTATTGAAATTTACGGGTGATTGTGAACACCCTCGTAAGTTGTTACCACGTATCGTGGATCCTCTTTGTCCCGTTCGACTTGCTTTTTCACTGGGCAGCCATCGATCGAGCATTTGTAGTAGTTCCTGATTATTTATTACAATACAAGGTTTGTTGTCATCAGTAAGTGTTTGCTAATAGAGACACTTTTAAGTGTTTTTTGAACCCTGTCATATAATTTACCACAAATTTTAAATTTATTTGCCACATTGAAAATAAAATCATACATAAATCATCGATAAACTTGCCATAAACTAATAATAATGCAATTTAGGACTCAATTGCAATAAATAAACCACAACTCAGAAACTTGGTGATTGTAGAGATAAAAGAAATTTTGTAGGAACCACATAGTGTTCTAAAAAAGAAATTAACATACCTTGGATTTGGGCTGTTTTTAACCATCTTTTTGCCGTACTTTCTCCACTTAAAGCCATCATCGAGTATCTCGACCTCAGACTTGGTTTTGAAAGCAACTCTTTCTCTTCTCTTTTTCTTGCCAATACCAATTTCCCCTAATCACAGTAACACACACATCAATTAATCCACTTGAATGTTACATTAATTTTACGCTCGATTCTACTGGTGACTGCACTAGAGATTTTGAAATTTTCACCGTTTGATCAACACACCTAAATATGTACACAATTGAACAGTGAAAAACCCGATGCCTGCAGTGAAATCTACCATTTTACAATAAACACAACATTTAGACACAATAAAAATCCATAAATATGCACTTACTATTATTGATCATTGTCGCTTCATGTAATGAAGTGTTGTTGTCACTAATCGCACTCGAGTTCATGACAAACCCGTTTACATAGTTCGGATCACTAACCGGAGGACTCGAATCATTGTAGCCCGGGGGCACGGATGAGAACGTGGGATGATCGACATGCTCGACCCAGTCGTTGAACTCGAAAAAATCGGAAACCTCAAAGGTGGAATCGTTTGAGTAATTCTGGTAGTTATCATCCATGATGATAATCAACTGAGAGCTTATTAAACTAGTATTTATAAGTTGGAATTTTTGAGGGCTCTCTATAGATAGTGAGAGATACGTGGAAAAGAAGCTATCTTAGCTTAACTTCTTTTTTCTTTTTTTTTTTCTTTTTAATTTTGGGTGAGCTTCCTGTTATTTAGAGAGAAGCTTCATGGGTGCTGCATTGATGTATTTGCTTGTGAGTGGTGGCTAAGTAAATTTTGAAAAGGGACCCAACAAATGCCTAACATCAATTTATTGATGACCATGAGGTCCATGACCATATTTATTTGGGGAGACTTTGGCATATATATATATATATAGGTGTTGTGTTAGTCTAGTTTAGTGGAATAAGTGAGCATAATTTTTTCAATAAATATGTATAGTTTAATAGTAATATAAGATAATTATTTAACTTGCTTTGAAAAGTATACATAATATATAATAAATAATAATAATAATAATAATAATAATAATAATAATAATAATAATAATAATAATAATTGTACATTTTCATGCCTTCATATAGTTAGTTGTAACTATTTCATGGCATAATTAATTATATCATATAATCAAAAGGATATATAGGAGTAAAAAATGAGGGAAAATGTGGGGCACGCTAGAGAAGACTTGTGCGTAGACTTTTTGTAGTATGTGACGATTTGTGAACTGAGTGAAGTCTTATAACAGTCTCCTCGTGCTTGGACTAAACCATTTATATGAATAAAAGCAGCATTGGTAAATATATGATCCAACGGTAACATCCCGTCGGGTGTTTTAACCATTTGGATCCACGTGTAATTAGATAAGATAGATGATCCAACGGTTAAACATTCAACGGGATGGTACCGTAACGGGACCGTAGCATTTTCCATATATATATATAGTAACGTTAGGCGTTAGTTCATAAGTTGTTTCTTCATTTTTTTTAACTGTTCGTTTTCCTGGCCAAATCATAGACCCTCCTCTTTTAAAAAATATGCATATTTATTTATTAAAAAATGATAGTATATTTTAGGAAAAACAATACTATAAATATCACATATAATAGCATAACTATAAAATAATATATATGCCTCATTGCTAAATAATTCGTCAGTCAGTCGTGAGTCACGACTCATGACTCATGAGTCACATAGTCTTTGTCTGCATCTTAATCCAATAACGGATTAATTACGTACGTTATATATATATATATATATATATATATATATGCATGAACTGGAAATTAAAGGCAAAACCCATAACTCACGCGAAACTGACTAAATCAGAACTCATTCGGATAGATCAAGTAAATCAATGCGGATTTCATGATAAAGTGAAGATTGTGTATATTATATAACACAGTTTTGCTATGGAGCCATCGGATGGCTCGGCTTATGGAGCCATCCACAGTTATTCACAAATAGTGTATTGACACGTGTCCTACAATAAATGCACTTTGGACAAGTGTCAATACACTAAGTCATGGATGACTCCATAAGAAAACCATCCGATGGCTACATAGAATTTTTGTTATACAACATATACATGATTCTTTGGGCTGATCAACTGTCTAATTAATTAATTGGTTGGCTTTTTTAATTTATGTTTTTTTTTTCTGTTTGTCATGTAATTGGTGTTTGATGGTTAACTTGAAATGTAAATTCAAACAAGTTCGATGTAGTATCTCATGAACCATTTATTTTTTTAACTCTCTTTATTGGGTTGATCCGATCAATAGATCATGGCCATTTGATTAGAAGTCAATGAAATGTCATTGGGGAGAGAATGATAACTGACGATCGAGTTATGATTCTAAGATGAATTGGTTATGTATATCGTTCGAATCAATCTAAGAGATACAATCTTGAGTAGAGATTTATAGAGAATATTTAGTTAAACAAGAAAGTTAACCTAGCATATTTGGGAGGGATCTTGCCCAATTTTGAATGGTCTTCATCATGTCACAAATTTAGGGGAAATGTAAGTTCTATGTATACGTAAATATTCAAACAAGGACGAAAATACTTCTTATTCTCTTGGACAACAGCATTAAGAGTGGTTTTTTCAACACTTTTTTAACTTGTGCGTTGGAGTATTTATTTCGTAAGTTTAATAAAACATATTTTCACGCAGAGAGTTGGTTCACGAGATGTAGAGCACGTCAAAGCTATTTATTTAAAAAAAAATAATAATCGAAGAATTTCAAGAAACGGATTTAAAGTAACTTGGTTTTATAAACAAATATTCTACAAAAATACTACCAAACAACAAACAAGCAATTGATTTGTTGATATAAAATATATATGCCTACATTCTCAGCTTAGTTCATACGAAAACAGTCTTGCAATTGTAGTTGGTGGTAAAGATAGTTATTTCCTTTGTTTATTGTGAGCTTATTAAGGAGGGTGTATTTAATTGAGATTTATAAAGACTTTTAAAAACTTTTTAGGACTTTAGAAATCCTGGTGTATTTAATTTAGATTTCTCAAGACTTTTAAAAGTCTTGAGGTATTCAATTAGGATTTTAAAAAGTCTTACGAAATCCAGGTGTATTTAACTAATTTAAGGTTAGGATTTATAAGGACTTTTTAAGATTTGCTGGGATTTCTAAAGAAAAAAACATGTAGGAAATCCCACTACAAATCCCACCTTTAGACTTGGTATTTTATAGGATTCTTTTAAAATCTGAAAATCCTCAAAAATCTTAAATCTTATAAAGTTATTCGTTTCGGAATTCGAGTGACATTTAAAGACTTTTTAAGATTTAAGATTTTTGAGGATTTTCAGATTTTAAAAGAATCCTATAAAATACCAAGTCGAAAGGTGAGATTTGTAGTGGGATTTCCTTCATGTTTTTTTCTTTAGAAATCCCAGCAAATCTTAAAAAGTCCTTATAAATCCTAACCTTAAATAAGTTAAATACACCAGGATTTTGTAAGACTTTTTAAAATCCTAATTGAATACCTCAAGACTTTTAAAAGTCTTGAGAAATCTAAATTAAATACACCAAGATTTCTAAAATCCTAAAAAGTTTTTAAAAGTCTTTATAAATCCCAATTAAATACACATGTCACTCGAATTCCGAAACGAATACACCCCACTAAGATACTTCTTTATGACTTGGGACCACAATAATGGTAATTACATTTAATTAAGAACGATATCCAAATAAAAGTCATATGGATACGTTAAGTAGCCTTTTACTATTCAACTACCGCAATTTAGTAAGATTGAGTTAATAAACAATTCTGATTAAGTTCTTGCTATTTAAAAAAAAAAAACAAAAAAACAAAAAAAACAGATGATTTCATATGTGCTTCATGCAATAATTCTATCTTATTTGTCAAAGTTTCACATGGAACAGTTAGAAAATTCAAAATTATATCTCTATATACTTTTTTTTTTGTTTTTTACATTAAATTTACTATTTAGATAAATGCCTACATTTATTTGAACATTGTATTCTAAAACATTTTATCCATACAAGCCTGACTTTGGTTAAATCCAAATCCTGATAGTATTGAAAGAGGAAATGGATTATATCTGGAATAGAGGTGTACTCGAGTCAAACTTAATTCGATCTTCTATAAATGAAATCGAATTCAATTCATTTATTAATATCAACGACTAGAGTTCGATGCTTAACAAACCGAAATCTACGACTAGAGTTCAATTCATCATTTAATTATTCTCGAATAATTACGGCATCTATTTTGTAACAATGCAAAACAGAACAAAATATAAAACTACCCATGGCCTTTGCCCATCAATATGCACCCATCGTTTGGCACCAATCCCATCAGCCGCCCGGCAGCCCCACCGCAATCCCGATGCACTCCGCGCACACAGAATCCCTAACCCCCAATAAAAAGGTTCTCGATGCGATGACCGACACGTGTCTCCACACTCCTGATCCGCAAAACCCTCGATCAAACGCACCCCACCAAAACCAAATCCATCAGCCCTTTTCCGCCCACACACACACACTTCGCTTTTTTTGCACTTTTTTTTTTCTTTTTCTTTTCCAATTTTCTGTTGCTCCTCCGACCTTTTTCCGATCTTGCTTATCCGCAAAAGATGGAAAGCCATGCGTAGATAATCGCCGCCAGCTCGGATTTTCCGGTGAGGGAATGCTGGATCTCTTTGTGCTGACTCATTTTCGCTCTGTAGTCTGTATGCGCAAACGCAAAAAGAGATGAATGGTTGCTTGCCCCCTGTTTTGATGCGTGGATTCAAGTTTTTGTCTGTATTTTGAGTTCGAATCATCGTTTGGATGATATGGGGAATTAGGTTTTTTTTTTTTTTTTT